ACCATATCATAGAGACTGGATCATCCCAATGTAGTCAAACCTAAAGGATTAGCCAATTCAAGAATGTAGTACAGTATATATCTAGTTTTTGAGTTCATGCAAACAGATTTGGTACGAGTCATTGCTCGTCCCGAAGAGAAACTATCAGAACCACAGGTTTAAAGATTCTCTTTGATGCTTTGGCCATTTTAACATTTAAAACCCTTTATTCTCCTTAATGATCTTAAAAAGTTAATGTAGGTCAAGTGTTATATGCATCAATTACTTTGAGGTCTACAACATTGCCATGATAAGGGAATTCTTCACCGAGATATAAATGGGTCAAACCTTTTGATTGATAAAATGGGATGTTTCAGATTGCAGATTTTGGACTTGCCAATTTTTATGGTCCACATTATCATCACCCTCTCATTAATCGTGTTTTGACGTTATGGTACAGAGCTCCTGAGTTGTTGTCCAAATTATCATCAGCCTCTCACTAGAAGTTATAAAACACACTGATTTTATTTCTAAGTCATATAATTCGAAAAAAAAACCCTAATCCATTTCTCTTTTCTCCAATTTCTCTGTTGCTCCTTGCTCGCGGACCACCCAACCTTGGAAAAAAGAAGGTTAATTTGCAATTGTGGTTTTGGTGGTGACGAGCATATAGAATCTTGACTTGCGGGGTGGCAACTAGTGATTCTGGTTGTTCGGAGAAGGCGATAGCGCTGTGAAGGTTCAATCTGGACAGGACTTCTTCGTCACGTGCAGGAAGAGTTTCTTCCTCCTCTGCCATGGCACAAAGCAATGTAAGAAAACATGTGGCAAACCTTAGAAAGAAAACATGTCATCACACGTGACTAGACGTTAGCCACCTCAGTTTATTTTTAACGCCATTAGTTTTGAAGGACGAAAAATTATAATTTCCTTAAAGACAATAATCAAAGTATACCAAAGTTTGAAAGATGGACGAAAATTAAAATCGCTTCTTGATGGACTAAAAACATATTTAACCATATATATATATATATATCAAAAAATAAAAATCACGAGATAGATAGCTTAAACTTTCAGGAAATGAAACATAAAAAAAAGCATCGAAAAAACAGATAGGAAATTCATTTCACAAGGAACTGGTTCTCGAGCATTGCAAAATGAAAACCTATAACGGACTTGTTTCACATATCTCTTGCCATCCCAAATTATTATGTACTGACTTGTATAATGAATTCTTCAAAATTGTTATTTTTCAAAATTTTATTATTAATTAGGTGGAAATAATTACATAAATGTACTTTTAAAAATTCAGAAATAATTATATTTTTTATTAATAGTAAGACTAGAGAAAATAAAATAAAAAATAAGAAGAAGAGAAAATTGTGATTAAAAGAAGATAAAAAAAAAATAGGAGAAAAGAGAACAACTTGTAAACAAAACGTAACAATAATTTAATAATTGAAGCAACCGTTACGATTTCGTGAGTGAATAAAGACTTAATTTTGGGAAATAATATATAAACAGTTGTATCTAAATAGAACTGAGCCAAACATTAAAAATGTTGGGATGAGCATTGGTAATTGCAAGCAATATATGTTTTACTAACCAATGATCTCAGATCAATAAGTCCTTAAATGCCAATTTGCCCAAGAGGTAGCAATTATATTGAAATTCCTCAATTTTATACTTCCTAAAATCATATTTTAAATTATTTTAGAAAATTCATTCCGAAGATTTTATTACATGGTGTTTCAGATTAAATATTTTTAATTGTTTTTTCACATAATAAAAAATACATAGATTTTGAAAGATTATTTTCTTCTTTCCTCTGAGAGGTGAACCAGAAAACATTTCCATTATAGAAGATGCTTGTTTCTGCAATCTTACCTTTTCTCTCAATCTTTCTTCTAATGGCGGCCTCAGATCCTGTTGAAGACGCCATTCTGCAGTGTCTCTCTCTTCATTCGGACCCTTCCTATCCAATCTCCTCTGTCACCTATTTCCCTAACACCACCTCGTACATTCCCATCTTGCAATCCTACATCAGAAACCTCAGATTCACTTCTCCCACTACTCCTAAACCATTGTTCATCGTTGCCCCAACTCACATCTCCCACGTCCAAGCCTCCATCATCTGCTGCAAAAGTTTCCAACTTCAGATCAGAATAAGAAGTGGGGGCCATGACTATGATGGTCTTTCCTACGTGTCAAGGTCCCCGTTTGCGATCATGGACATGTTCATGATGAGATCAGTGGAGGTCAATTTGGAGGATGAGACTGTGTGGGTTGACTCCGGGTCAACGATTGGTGAACTTTATCATGCGATTGCTGAGAGGAGTAAGGTGTATGGTTTCCCGGCTGGTGTGTGTCACAGTGTTGGTGTTGGAGGACACTTCAGTGGGGGAGGGTATGGGAACATGATGAGAAAATTTGGTCTTTCTGTGGATCATGTTTTGGATGCTGTGATTGTGGATGCTGAAGGGAGAGTCTTGGACAGGAAGAAAATGGGGGAGGATCTTTTCTGGGGGATTAGAGGAGGTGGGGGTGCTAGCTTTGGGGTCATTGTGTCGTGGAAAATCAAGCTGGTTCCTGTCCCTGAGGTTGTCACAGTTTTTAGAGTTTAAAAAACATTGGAACAAGGGGCTACTGATGTTGTTCATCGATGGCAGTATGTTGCCGGTAATATACATGATGGATTGTTTATAAGAGTGGTTCTTAGTGCTGTCAAAAGGAAGGGTCAGAAGACAATCAGAGCCAAGTTCAATGCCTTATTTCTTGGAAATGCTCAAGATTTGGTTCGCGTGATGAGTGATAGCTTCCCTGAATTGGGTTTGGTTGGTGAAGACTGCATTGAAATGAGTTGGATCGATTCGGTGTTGTTTTGGGACAACTTTCCAGTGGGAACTTCGGTTGATGTTCTGCTTCAAAGGCATGATACACCTGAGAAATTCTTGAAGAAGAAATCAGATTATGTGCAGCAACCTATTTCCAAAACTGGGTTTGAAGGTGTATGGAGTAAAATGATGGAGCTAGAAAAACCTGTTCTCACACTGAACCCCTATGGTGGAAGAATGGGTGAGATTTCTGAGATGGAAGTACCGTTTCCACATAGGGCTGGTAACTTATACAAAATTCAGTACTCCGTGAATTGGAAAGAGGAGGGTGAAGATGTTGGGAACAGATATTTGGATCTGATTCGGAGGCTCTATGATTATATGACGCCTTATGTGTCAAAGTCACCCAGAAGTTCATATCTGAACTATAGAGATGTTGATATAGGGGTTAATGGACCTGGAAATGCTACTTATGAAGAGGCTAGAGTTTGGGGTGAGAAGTATTTCAAAAAAAACTTTGATAGATTGGTAGAGGTAAAGACAAAGGTAGATCCAAGCAATTTTTTCAGATATGAACAGAGTATACCATCCCTTGCAGCAGCGTTTAGTCTTGGGATAATGTCAGAATAGAAGATTGGTTGAAGAGGTATAGAATAAAGGGTTGATTCATTAGTATAGAAGTTAGCAATGAAATTTGATTGGATACAGAATTATTTGTTTTGCAATTGTATTCTCCCTTATGAGGGTCTTCTGTAATATCATTGTATACTAAGATTGCTACACCAATTATAGTAACAAACATACTATTATTTAGCCACTATAGCAATTTCATTATGCTCAAATCATGTTTATTTTCTCTCTAAATCGTCAACTGTTTGTGGAAGTTGTTGATGAATGCATCAGCCATTTTGATGTCTTCTTTCTCCTTCTCCAAAGCTATTTGTCTGCTCATCAATAGCTTCTTCCTTTATGAACCTTCATTGCTGCTCTTGTTGATGCGACTGTCAGTGGTGAAATCCTTTGTTTAAGTAGTGTTTGATTCTTTATAAATTGTGCTTTTTCAATACCATATTTGCACAACATAAAGAAAAATGACCATTCATAACTTCTAAACTTTTTATAGTCTCAAAATGTTTCTTCCATTCATCTTCATGTGTTTCTTTTGAGAGTTACTTTTTTATATTTTTTTTTGATATACAAATTTTTTTCTTTTTAATCTCATAAAATGTATTCATCTTATTAAAATCAACTTTTATGTTCTTTAGAGTACTAGTTAAAAACTTAAGAGATGTCCTCATCATTTTTATATCAAACTCATACTTAAAGTGTGACTTGCATTTAAATTATGTAGTTTGATTTATATTAGTAAAAAAATTAATGTTTTACATTAAGCAAATATGTTCTAATATATTAAGTTGTAGATAAGCATTTATAAAATTTTAAAAAATTCACGACTTGTTTTTTATAATTATTTTACATGTAAAGTTTACAAAATATTGTATTTAATAATAATAAATAATAATAATTTATTCATTTTGATATATTTGGATAAATTTCTCTCTAAAAACTTATAACTTGTTTCCATGACTTAAAATTAACTACACAAAAACTAATCTGTAGTTATAGAAAAAATTATTTTTTTATTTTATGTTTATAGATCTTTGTGGATAAATTGATCCAATCGCACCCTTAGTCGTCGGATTATAATCTTTTAGCAGCTATTAGATATTACTATAATTGCATAAACTTCATTGTAAACATTTCTAAATGAGAAAAATAAGAAGAAAAATTTATTATTTTTTCTGCATGTTAAAATTAAGTATATTTAAATTAATTTATACATTATATTTTTAAAAATTTTATTTTAACTTATTAAAAACTAGTTTCGACTAATTGTTAAATGTATTGTTTTTGGGGTCTTTTTAGATATTTATCGAAAAATTAATCTTAGAATGTCAAAATGTCAAAAAAAGAATCTGAATTTTCAGTTGAAACTTTTGTGCTAATCTCTCCTAAACTTTTAATATATACTGATATTTGTATATAATTTTTTTAATATATTTTAAAACATCAAAATTAATTAAAAACAAACTAAGAAACAGCATCAAAACAATAAAATCACATCATCCGTGCTTTGGAATAATAGAGTGAAGAAGAACTTTTACACTGTACTTTATATAGATGCTATGAAGAGACAAATTTAATGATGATGAAATTTCACTCCAAATGCATACAGATTTTAATGAATATTATTTCAGTTGGTAAAATAAAGTTTTTAATTTGAAGAAGACGGAGGAGAGAAGGAAGAAGGAAGAGGAGGGTTACAGAGGAAGGAAAAGATTTGGATTGAGCAGCGATCCTGTACGGGCGCACCCAGGTACATCTTGGAAGTCGGTGACGGGTAATTCCTGCGAAAAAGCTCCGACGAAAAACTGAAGCGTGCCGGAATCCTGGTGGAGCTTGATTCCGGTGACGGGGAGCCAGAGGAAGAGTTTCTGAGCCTGAATCCCTGAGACGTGGGAGACGGAACCGTAGGTGAGGGTGCCCTTGATTAGGGTGTTGTAGTAGACCAACTGGTTCTCCCAGTAGACATAGCAGGGAGCATCTAAGTGGAGGATGAAGGAGGCGTCGGAGGAGAGGGTGTAGGAGATCACGTTGTTCGGAAGAAGACCCTTTGGAAAACCGTACTCAGGGAGAACATCGTGG